AGTGGTTAAGGTACTCTGTCAGATCACTTTTTGTGCGTTCACAGGCAAGAGTTTTGTTTGGTTAGTTGAACTAATTTGAATTTGAAATTTTAACCCAATTTTTACAGGATCACATTAAAGCTGCACCTGCCATGAGCACATACATGTATGTCTGACTACCGGTATGTTGGCAGTACCAAAATCAGTTGAGGGGCAGTAACTGACTACCAGTACAAAATGACTACAGAGTAAGTATATATAGAACTCTCTTGTGGTCAGAGCTCTTATTTCATAAATTGTACATGTATGTCAGTTTCAAATGAATGCTATAAGAAAATGTCCTGCATGTGCAGCAGTGTAACTGGATCAGACAATATTGCTTAAACATGTAGCATACATGTACTGGTATATCACCTTCTTGGTATTAGTGTAGAGAGTTGTACAAATATTCCTTCGTCCATACATGTACATACATGTACATGTAAGTATGTGCATGGACATTGTATGCTTCAATTTAATGAATGAGAAACACTTTCTTTTCTAAAATGGCAATTTCTCATGTACATGTACAGGTTCAATGTAAGTGATACTGTCAAATCCTCTTTTAAGAAGTTAAAAGAAGTTTCTTTTCTGTTTTTGTTTATTGTATGTTGGTGTGTGTGTGTGTTTTTTCACAGAACAAAGCGCAAATCTAAGTGGGACATACCCAAAGCAGAGGATGAGCCTGGTGATCATGGGTCAAGTCTTGAGGCTGCATCTGCAGCTGCTGCAAAAATTAATGCCATGTTGATTGCCAAAGGAAAACTAAAACTACCAACAACTGTGGTGTCATCTGCCCAGCAAACACCCAAACAAAAGGTACACTTTAGATTGTAATACATGCATGACCATTCAAAATTCCTTAGTAAGGCACTTGATGATATCATAATGACAAAATAAATCATGTTTAACATTGGGGAAAAGTCCATCAGAAAAACTTTGCATTCGTCAATGATTAGTTAAACAAATTGTCAATTAAGTTTTAGACCTGTGGCAAATGTATTTAGGTTTTCATTTACAAATGATTTTCAACATACCATTTACATTGGAAACTTGATTTTGAAATAGGAAATGACTTTCAATTTCCATAGCCTGAGGTAAGTGATTTTGGATTTGTAATGTGATTGAGGGGAAATAATGAAGTTTGAGAGAAAATTGAATGGCAGTGATCAGCCACCATAGATCTTTTTCAGGAAACACTTTTGGTTCAATAAAAAGAAGTTACATGTATAATGGGCGAGAATCAAACAGCAGTCATTAAGTCTGCGATTTCAATATTGAATTGCATGTACCAGTACTTGCTTCGACAACCATGTACTGGGTGGCACAATGAAATCTATGATGACGCTGAGATTTAAGCGATCTGCAGCATTGGATGCATGTAGTGAATACACAGTACATGATTTTAACTTGATTAGACATGCACTCTGACATGCAGGCATAAAGGTCATTGTCTACTTATCTTCAAGTTTTTGCATTTATGTAAATAGAAATGAAGCCCTTGTTATATTGCATCTGATGATGTCATCATGATGCAGGTATGCAGCTTTTCCTAGGATGAGCTTACACCCGTATTTCCTTGTTTTACACTTCACACTTATGCCATTGAAAATTGAAAAACACTGTACAAAGTCTTGTCAAGATCAGAATTTCCTTGTTTTTTTGTCAAAGCCCAAGTTGCATCCTGATGATGTTGTTCTACTTTATTCTTCATGTCTAAGATTTTTTGTGTAACTTTAATGAAGATGGAAGATTGCCAAGTGGCCCAAAAAGGCTTCCATAATCCGTGTACAAAGTCAATGGTCAAAAGATACTCAAAATTCTATACAAAATCAGATGATGACCTCATCATGATGTCATAAATTGGGCATCATGTTTGCATCAAGGTATTTATTGGCTGTACCTGTAACTTTGATGATAATTTAAAATGTGCCTTGAAAATGTGTACGAACTCAAGGGGCTGAAATAATTGAAAAATCAATAATAAATCACTTGATGACATCACCGTGACAACGTTGTTTGAGGACCATCTATGCATAAGGGTTGTTCATTGGTGTAACTTTGATGAAGATCCAATATTGCAAAGTGACCAGAGTGGCACCTAGAAAAAATGTACAGAAAGTGAATGGGGTTTTAGGGAGAAACTCTTCAAGAAAAAAATCAGAACAAATGTACATGTAATTGCTTTTGCACACAGCTGTGCAAAAGCCCATTAGGAAATTATCATGTAACAACCATACAGGGAAACTGAATAGATGCTAATATGTTGTTGCATTCCTTAAATATCAGGCTTGTGGTAGCATGCACTTTTACTATTGTTCATTTAGGATGTGATATTTGGGGTCAACAATTAAAGATACATGGGATGCAAAGGGGTTGGGTGACAGTGAGCCTGTACGGCTGGGTTGTTGTTCTCACTTCTCTTCTATTGCTCCATTTACGTTCATAAGTGGTTTCAAAGGTGTAGCTTGTTAATTAAGATTCATGTACATATAACTGTGCAACTCATCAGGGGCAAAGTTATAGAGACAAAGTTGAATATAAACTATGGCTTGGTGAGACCATAGGAAATCCAAGTCACACAGAGTGGGATTAATCCTGGTGTATTGCATTGCAAAAATTGGGCCGTAGTGGGGGCTGTCCCAGGCCACCACGGTGACAAACAACAGCTGGATGGGGCCAGCGGTACATACACATGTATGTACCGACCGCACTGCCACTCAGACTGCAATGTGATGAGCACAGTGATTGAATCGCCGGACTATGCACCATTGGCTCAGTGTAAAGACAGGGAGGGCCAGAGCAGCGAGGACACGGGTGTCTCGCCCTGCAAGCAGTTCAGACATGGAGATGACGGGCTGCTACGATGCTACAGCTTGCTCTACTAGCACGCTGGGCTAGTTGATGGAATTACCACAGGGTCTAACCGCACTATGCACTGCTGCACTACATGTACAATGTACATGTGTATGTTAGGTTTCATTGCACACAACAAGGGTTTGGTTCGTCGCACCTGACTGACGAGCAGGCAAAATTTGCTCTATTTATAGGGTTTAAAGGCTTAAGAATTAATAAAATATGAGTATCGTTGAACTGCTCAACCAATGGGAACTTCCATCTCAAAGGGTCATGACTTCCTGCTAGAGGCTTGTGCAAGAATCTACATGTACACGTACATGTACATGTACATGTAAGTGTCGTGTGTGAAAAGGTGAAATACAGAATAAGAAGTCACGTGTACAAAAGTGTAATTTCAGGTGCAAATAGGGATTACACAATCGTCCCAGAAAATGACTGACAGTTACAAAGTCTTAGGTAACTGAATGTTAGCATTCTAGGGAGTCTTACATACATGTACATGTACCATGCCCATCCACTTGGAGGGGGGAATTTCCAACATGTCATACTGAGCAGAGAAAACACAAAGGAGTGAAGGAACACGCGATCACACCAGAATACAGCATGAATAACTTAATACAAAATCAGCATCTCTGCGACATTTCCATATGCATACATGTCGCCAAGCTAAATAAGAGACCCTGGGAATGCAAGGCAACAAGAAAGCATAAAACATGGGGGGCACTAGAATTTCACCTTCAAGGTTTGTGAGTGCGCAACAGCATCAATTACCGGTATGTACAAAGAAATCAACTGGAGCGGGATTTAAACCTGCAACCTCTGGAATAGGAAATTATCACTGTAAGTTCATGTGAGACTGGACAGGTTTTTTTCAAGTATGATTTTTCAAGAGCCAAGAGGTCAAAGTTTGAAAGCACCCTCGGCTGTTTTTTAATGAGTATTCAAATATGGGTGCTTCACAGTACACTGTGCCATCGAGAGGTTGCCATAGAAAGTCCATTTGTGCAGTGCATTGTAGGAAATTGTATTTTGCCAGCTGCTAAAGGGTAACTTGAATTATTCCTGATGTTTGTCAGGGAAGAAGATCCAAAAGTGTATTTTGAGTAGCAGATATAATCTAGATCCTTTCCCCTGCTGATGGACATGTACCATGCTCAAATTCAAATTGTGGCAAGGTGGCCATGCTTTTGTTAATGGCCTCTCTGTAGCAACCTCTTGGTGGCAAACTGTACTGTCAATTGCCCCATTCATTTACTTTTTCCAAGACTGTTAAAAAATAAATATTTGGATACATAGATATTCATCTTTTATCACTTTGAACCTGGTCTAGGTACTTAAAAGCAAAGAAGAGCCAATCATAGCAGAGGTGGAGATAAATGATGTTCCATTACAGTGCCGGAATATGTTGACTCGTGGTTCTACCCAAGAAGAGGCAAGTTCATCAAATTCCTGTTACCTTTTTTCACAGAAAACTATTTAATTTGTGATTAAAGAGGTTGTTGACTGCACATTTGAAGCAAGATATGGAATGGAGAGCACCCCCCCGACACCAATGAAACAAAGGGATTTAAATAAAAGAAATTTAAACCAGGGGATATGATTGAAATCTCATTGGAATTATTAACCACCTTCCATGTTGTCTAAGCCCAGTATAGCACCTACATGTATATGTACATGTTTATGTACCGGTACTTTCATCATGTAGCTTCTTCAGAGATACAGTGCCAAGAGTAAAGTACTGTAGCTGGTTATAAACCAGACTCTACGTTTTGACAAAACCAGCTTTCACAGGAACTTGTTTAATCAGAGACTTCCACTTAACTTAGTTAAGGACCAGTGAGTGAAAAAAAATGCCATCAACAACATGTTCATGTACGCAAAACATGTACATGTTTTACACACTATATGTGTAGGCAAACAGATCGCATTTTACCCTGTTCTAATGGCTACAAAAAGCAGTCTCATTACAACAGGTTTGTATCCACCACCTTTATTACTAATAGAGCGGTGACTCAGGCTTAATATTAAACTCACTTTATTAAAAACTTTTTGTTACTGGTTTTGGTTTCACTGCATAATGACCAACATTTCTAATCCCAACGAATTTCCTGTGGAGATAAAAAGTACATGTTCATGTGCATGTAGGTGTACTTTGCTAAATTCACAGGTTGAAATTTAAATGAAGTGATGAGATATCATGATTATAAATCCTTAAATTCATACATCCAAAAAAGCTGATTTAAACAAAACAAGAGGTTTAAATTGAACCCCCAAATTCTGGCAACCCAGATTAAATGCACACATATGCACCCATGCATCTTATCAATGCTACATGTACTGTATGTGTACCGGGTTTGAAGGGCTCACAGAAGGGGATTTGCCATTCAAAATGTGCAAAACTTAAAAAAACAATGTAAATCGGTTCGGGAAAAACAAAATTGGAGCATCTTTACCTTTAAAAAAATTTTTAAATGTTGATTTAAATCAATGATTGAAAAATATTGTTTGACTTAAATCGCCATTTAGATTGTTAATTTGAATAAATGAGATTTAAATTGGTGAAGTTCTCTGGAAGAATTTATGATTATATTAATGTATTTCATAGTTTATCGCCAAAAGTTTGGGTGTGTCAAAAGTTACCCAAAATAGTTTTGCTGAGCAGTGAGCTACTGTACATGTACTTTTGAAAATAAAAGCAGGAATTTCAGGTCATGATGAACAAATTGAGGGATTGTGCTACAAACATACCATTACATACATGTACATGTACATGTAGGTACCTGTAGCTGTAATCTAGTGAGACGAATACAAAAAAGTTTGCCAAAGTTATTTTTCAAATCTTTGCCATGTAGAAACATGTTCACGTACACATATTTTCAAAATTACCCTCACCATGCATGCCATGTGGAAGGCACCAAGATGGTAGTGTGTCATTGTAAATTGGTGATTTTAAGGTAAAGCGTTCGAAGGATAATTACATGTACATTACAGTTACATGTGGTAACCTCATTCAATACTCTTTGAGGATAACTAGCATTATTTGAATATTGAACGTCTGTTGTAACATGGCAAACAGACATACACCGGTATCCTGTCAATACATGTGTATGTGCATGCTCATTTTCATTAACCAGAATTTTTCAAAATTTTGCTTTTGGTAACCTTCAGTGATCCTTGTTAAAAAAGCCTCAATAACCTGCAGAACTCGTTTTGTGTTACACAGATAAGTAAAATGAGCGGTGCTGCAGTTTCCACTAGAGGACGGTTCATGTCATATGAAGACAGAGCTAAGAACAATATGGGGTAAGTGAACATACTCTTCTCAATCGTTGTTGTACTTTAAGTTGATGAATCCAGGAATGAATACCAAATTCATGCATCTAGAATTTATGCAAGTTTACAACTTATGCAGATTATACTCAGAGACTGATTATTTTTGTATTAGGCATTATACATGTAATGCTGCATATTCTTGAAGCCTTTGTAATACGCCTCTTGTCAGTTTGTGAGTTTAATGGATAATTCAATTTATTACATGTTTGTTCATGTGAATTTAAAGAACTCAGTTTACCAGATTTTATTCAAATTTATCTTGCAAAAGGCTTATTGGCTGGACCTAATACTCAGCATCTTAAGAACCTGAGACAAAACAATTGGAAATTTTTAGAAGAACTGCATAACTGCAGCAGACGGGAGGTTTGCTGTTAACACCTTGCTAATGCAAGTGTTTCCCAACCCTGACAATCCTGTCCCAAACAAGGCCAGGTTTTCTTTTCATGTACTGGTGCATGTACATGTAGCAGTGTTGTAGAGCTGCAGGTTACAATCAAAATACAATCTGCATGCCGACAAGTGTAGTTGCAAATATATGTGCTATTCCAGCCTTCCGCCACACACTTATGGGTTTGTAGTGTGTGGCATTCCATAACCTTAGAAACCTGTTTGTGCGTCACCACACAAATCAGGGCTAAACTTCTTTGATGATACCAGCTACGGCATGGCTGCTATATAGAAATTCCGTCCATTCTTGTTACAGGTACACATGTACAATCAATGAAAGCAACAGTTTACAAAACACTGACAAGGTATCAAAGATTATTGTCTCATGTTTGAGCTGAGCAATGATCTTTTCCAGAAGAGGTTATTTAGTGCCAAAAAGTGCTTTCTTTGGATATGTCTACCTAATACGGGGAAATTCAGATGCTCAAAAAGCTGGATTTTTGTAGGGGAAGGGGTCTGTTTTGAAATTCGGTCTTGAAATTCGAATTCAGAGGTTGGATTTTTGTTTCTGATTATTTGAAACTTTTGATTTTCATCCCAGCACTAGCCAAAACCAGCTATTCTATTATTCTCATGGTCAGACATTTGGCAGGTTTAGTGCATTCCTACATAGTATTTCCCCTTTGCGGTGCATTAAAATGCCATAGTGACATCTTGCCAACCATGAAAGTTGCAGTACCGGTATACTTACATGTACATGTATGTATGTACTCATGTTCCAAACCAAATGTACATGTACCTCATTCCAATCCTATGATATTTAAAAGGAAGGTTAATTATTGCAATATAAATGTATGCAAACATGCATTTTAAAACTCTTACATGCAACTTAAAGATTACTCTTTTTACACTTTTTAACTACAGAGAGAGACCGTTATATTTGTGTGTACAAGGGCAGAATAAGGATTGCGTGGATAGTAAGTACCCACCTTACATGTGTATCAAAGATTGAACTTTTAATATACATGTACATGTACCAGTATGTATATCTAAACTCTTATGGTGTGACCTTACGTCAGTCAGCTGTGCATATACATGTACATGTACTTCCCTCAAGGAGTGCAGTGGAGGACCTTTCAGCAAAACTACTAAATGTAGCTAATGTTCAGACATTTTAACATCAGAAAATTACATCAGAAATTCCTGTCACAAAAGCTAGCCATGGCGCTCAGCAGAAATGGCTTTCAAAAGTGAGTTGTTTAAACCCAAAATATTTCTGAATCCGAATTTATGTGGCATATCTATAATGGCATCCAAGTCATCATACTACAGCTTGATTCTGACTTTCTTCTACTGTTGAGGTAGCATCACGGATGAAAGTTGAGTGTGACACTACAGGGACCTACAGGTATAGAAACAATTTGACAATGGAACAACTTTAGATTTGTATACAGTAGCCCTGAAATTCATATCACAAGAAAAGTGCATTTGCTGAATGTAATTATTTGCTGCATGTATTATTTCATTATATTTCATGAAAAAAGAAAAACATGAAAATGGCTCAAAACATAAATGGCCAAGCCCTTAATTCCATTGTAGTTTCTGCCTTCATGCCCCAAAGTCTTTGGGTCATTGCCGGTTCTTTAGTGTTGATGCCATGTGTACTGAAACATGTATTTCTAGACTGAGATCGTTATTTCAATTCAGAGTTCTTGTACTACACTACCATATAAATTGTATGTACCGGTACATGTACATGTATATTTAAAGCTATTATAGGGTAGATGAAGGAATGATTGAACTGCATTGTAAACATCACATTTTGCAATCACAGCAAATGAACAGAATATACCCACAGAAACAAATAATTACAAAATGCCCTCAATCAAACAACCAATCAAACATAACAGTATCGCCCATCATAACGACACAACAAAACATTTTTGCCTGATTAAAATTGAAAAAAAAAACAAACATGATCTACATGTACACTCTGTGCATTATTCAGAATTATGAGGGAACCTTCTTCTATGATGAAATCCAGTTAAAGGGAGGACTTTTGTCATTAAAACTTACATGTAATTGCAATGTGCAGTGGATTAGTCATATCATTTGGCCTGACAGTGAAAGGGTGCATGCATGCCGGCGGTGCACACACGTAGTCTGGTGCTTTTGTGCGGCATAGATCATTCTGCACACCACAGCTACATTGTACAGCGATTCAATGATCACATCCCATAAACAACCCCTCAAGGAATGCCGTTTCTCTAAAAATCCTTTGTTCATGTGACTTTTATAGTTGTTGATTATAAATTTGTAATAAACGCTAATTTTAGTGCTTCATGATTTGTCAACTCAAAATGCAATTTTTAACGGTCTAAAATTGTCATGCACATGACGAAGTTGAAGGCATTGATTGATTTTAAAGCACTAAAGCTGAAGGACTGCTGAAGGTTTTCTTCTCTCCGATCATGATGTATTCTAAGGGATTGGGCCAATAGGAATCTGGTGATTTTGGACCGAAAATGACCGATCAAAAAACCCCAGTTTGCAAATTGACCAAAATTTCGTGCCAAGGATTGTGTGTTGACCGTAAGAAATGTATGGCATAGGAACTGTACAGTGCAATGCCGTATGCACTGTGCGTGGAAAGAAGTGTGAGCACACATTTCAGCAATAAAAGTGCTTGTGTCTTATTATGCTGCCTTTATCTTGCTGCATACATATGTAAATTACATGTACATGTAGACATGTGGCATCACAACCACCAATCATAAAAAAGGAAGAGTATGCTGCATATTCATAACTCACAGACATCAGTGGACCTGGTATATTGAGTGCGATTTCTAATTTTCAGTAATATAAATGACATATGTATATGTTGTTTTACTTTTTGACCAAACTGTACTTCCTTAAATTAAAAAAAATTATCCGTCACTAATAAATGACATTTCTCCTCAAAACAAATTCGTTACATCTGCGTCAACCTAGAAAAAACAACAAGCAACATTTTTTCAAACATTTTTTTCAGAGCAACATTTATCGTAAATGCTACTCTGAAAAAATGTATGCAAAAAACAACACAGTGTATATTGAACATTTTGTGTTTGCATGTTGGTTAAAAGTCCTACCTGTACTGTACTCTTTCTGTAATATTTGTACCAGATTAATATTTTATTTTTAATTGAACATTTTTAAAAATCCATGTTTTTCAGCAATATGTCGCCCAGTTTTTGAAAAAATTAACCCTATACTTATCATTATGTTTGCACAAATATTGTTTTGAGCATACAGGAGAAACTTAAACACATGTACATGTGTCCTCTCTGCTTTTTGCAGAAGCTGTTCAAAGAATCCGCAATATTATTGATGAAAGTATAAGTAAGTCAAAGGGAAGGGGCAAGGGGAAGAGTCGACTGTTTGGACAGATGGAACCTGCCTCAGCTGTAACCTCAGCACCACCTCTCCTTGGAGGATCATTTGTACCACAGCACCAAACCCCTCTTATGACAGTTCCACAATCAACACCCACACCAGCAGTGCCAACTGGGGTAACTATTGTATTTACAATGTTCTACCAACTCTTGCATCTTTAGAGAAAGACCGCCCCT